GGAGCTAGGGACACAATATTAGGTGTAGTTGCGTCACTAACGCCTCCGAATGCGTGCGCTTGAGTTACGGTGACGAGGGTTAGGGTTGGCACCTGTCTCATTTTGGTTAAAAACCATGGGAGTATGAGTGGAGGTTCAAGAGTAGACTCGAAATTATCGATTGGTGATATACAAATCAATAACTAGGATGTCTATAATCAACTACCTACATATCCCATGTTTAGATTTAAAAAATTAAGACCTATTTTAATTTTTATTTTCTTAGCTATTAAGTTGTTACTAAAACTAAGTATTTTGGAATTCAAATCTATTTTACATCAATCACTGATATAATTAAATAATATCTAACAAATACTATCTAACTGTGGTTATAATATAAATGGTTTTTAACATCCAAATAACATTAGCGGCATATTTTGTTTATTACAGTCACAATTAACTGATAAAGCAAATGTGATTAACCTCTGATAATGACTGATAAAATGAATCATGGTCTAGAAAAATACATAATTAGGAACTATGTGAGATATGATACTATAATATTAATTACATATACGGTACATTTATGTTTATTTTGTATGTTTACCGCTTCTGATATGATATATCTATAGAGCAGTAGATATGGACTATGGTATCTTTACAAATTCCTTAGTTTGTCCTATTAATCATTCTAAACTTATATATGAGGTGTAGATAAATGCCTAGGAAGTAAATAAGTACCTTTTCAACTGGATTCGTAAACTAATTTTTCAATTTCAATTTATAGTCAAAATATTCGTAATATAAGAAACTATCGCGCGTTACCTTGGAGTAAAAAGTGGCCTATGAGTTATTTCAGATCATAATCTTCCCCACTTCTAAATTTCATTGCGATCCCTTCAGCTGTTTTGGTGTGATGGCGTAACAAACATACAAACAAACACAACGTAACGCATTAAGGTATACCTAACTATAGTAATATTGCGCATTAAAGAGCTATTAGACCACCACAGATGGGGCCCAGTAGGGTTTATGTCCGGAGCCGCGGAAGGCCTGACGGGTTGCCGGGGCTCCGGCTCGATGAGCAGGAGTAGGAACAGGGTGGTTTTTAGTTAGTAAGAGTTTGACACTCCCTCCCGCCTCACCAAGGCGGGAGCAGTCATTCGATGAATTTCCCCCCTTAAAAAAGGTATAACTAATATTAGTAAAATACAGAAACAATCTTCGTACTACCTACTTTTATTTACTTCATGGAAGATACACCATTTTCTTATTGATTTACATCGTAAACAAGGACGGTTGTTTATCAGCAAGTAATGCAAAAAGGTGGCTTATCGAAACACGACACGTATTGGACACGTAGCGTTATCAATAAATACGAGTTCTTGTGCGAATTATGTCATACAGTATTATTTTAATATTTACATCCATTAAATAAACAGGTTGCAAATAAATATTGCATAGAAAATGCACTTCGCTTATGCCGTTAGCATTCTTGTTTCGCAATTATTTTATATTAATAGGATAAAGTTTTAGAAATGCAATTTTGTTCATTTCTGTCACAGCTGTGTTTTTGGCCCGTTATATTGTAGAGAGAAATGTACCATCCCGTTATATGAATCATTTATGTAATTAAGTGTGTGATCGTATACATAGATATTGTCTATATATATTTTGAGGCATAAAAATTAAAAAATACTAATTTTACGAAGAAATATTTCTGGTGCCTAACGTCTTTAGTATTTTTTTTTATACCTACGTTGTGTCTTTTATTATAATATAGTTTTTAAGATTAAAAAATAAGTTTACTTAATTGCCGTAAAATTCTCACCGAAATCACATCCTTTTTTTGCGACAGCCCTGTTACCTGCGTACCCGCAGGTATGGCAGTAGGCGTGCGTTGGCGCAGTGCATTGAGCCAAGAGTTAGAAAAAACCAAACAATGCTGGCGCCACGCTTTTTGTAACCCGCCTATATAGACACCTAAATTCATTAAACGCTAATTTAATTTGTGTAAAAACGACTATACCTATGTATTACTAATCTCTTAAAACAATACTAACTCAATTGCCTTGCGTTTCAAAGTCGTGATAAAGAGTAGAAAGTCAAGGAAATACTTAAAATATTCATTAAGTAGTTAGACACCTAATTTTAAGTTAGGATTACGTATTATATCCTTCTTGCCTGAACGTTATCGGTTAAATTCATAATGTCAATAAACCTCGTTATCGAAATTATATTAGCTCTGATGCAGGTATTAGGTAGCGAAATCAGAAGACCCGGTGCCCTCTTATAAGTGCTAGTGATGATCTGATGATGCAGTAAGAATCCCGGCCCCGCACAACCTAATCTTTCTCCGTTTTGGAAATTCCCTCTGAAACCAAAGAGGTACCGTAATTGCAACTTTTTCCATAAAAACCATCAATGCGAAAGGCACCTCGTACAGTCGGACATTTTCACTATAATATTATGTCTCCTTTCCATGAAAAACAGGCATGATGTGAAATTGAATCATCTTTTAAAATTGCGGCGATATTGCACTTAAATCAGAAAACAACCTCCATTCAACATTTCGGATGTTCACTTCCAGATCTTATCTTTCAATTACTACAACGAGAATATACTGCGACTGGCAAATTTGACCAATTACCTACACCTGGATTCCTTAGTTCTCATTGTCAAGGTTACCTATAATAGTGGATATAGTATCTGGCAATTGCTAAACATCCAAATTACTGTTGCATACGACATAATCCTGTGACGAATGTTCCAAATAACTATCCACTTTGAAACTTCAGTTTAGAAAACAGTAGACACGTATAACAAGTTATTTTCACAAGCCGGTAATATACGGTACATTAAAATGAGATCTATGTATTTCATCTTAGAATTCTTAGCACAATGGTCCAATTACGGGCAATAATACTATCTACCGCAAAAATGATATTTTTAGATTACAGCTATCAAAACATTATTGTTACAACCAACTTAATTACGAAAACTAGGCTGGCAACGATTTCTGAAAGTAGCAAACGAAAGCTTAATCAATTTGGGGCGGCCATTTTTAATCTAATAATTTAATTAAAATTATTCACAGCTAAGACAAACAGTTTTCTGTCAGTTTTAATCTTAATCGTCATAGTTTGTAAATTAATGATGGATATTTATTATTTTTAAGCTGTGCTACTTACACATTTAGCTAGCGAAACATTTTGTACGATTACCTGGTAAAATAATGAAAAGTCTCACGCGAAAAGGCTAGAACTCGGTCTAGATACAAATGTTCTGTATGTTCAGCTAATTTGCTCACGTTTTCGCGGGGTAGACGTATTATGATGAATCTAGGTCTCATTAGACTAAAGAGGTCTAGTGTTAAAACGCGAACGTGTAGACGATTCATTACTAAAATCTATTTGTAATGTTTTTTGTGTCTGCCGGCTTTACAACACGAGTCTTTATAGGTCTTGTGTTCATAGATTCACTTTTTTATATGACTGTCAATGTTTAGGGTCGACAGAATGTTATTGAGTTATGATTTGGAAAATTAATAGGTACTTTAACTGTTACAAATGAGCGTATCAATAAACATTTTGGTTTACATTTTCGGTAAAAACTGGTGTGATAATCGTGTCAGAGCCCAAGAAACGAGTTGCCATTGGGTACATTAGTGGCTTGTGAAATTGTAATCAGTAAAAATGTACTATATACCAAATAACGATTGCAAAAAGCAAACATGTCACATCAGACAGCAGCTTAACTCGTCGAGTACCGGTTTTATAGACACAATTAAAGAACAATAGGTCGCGGTCACCGGTGACCGCTTGGTATTTGACAGTTTAAATACGTCGCATACCACAGACGAAAAAGGAGAAATGACTAATATCCAAACCCATAAATCCCAGGGTCATTATATTACTAAAAAAGTAAACAATAAAAGCACAATCACATCAATTGAATTGCCCAATTACAGTCGGGTCAACAACCCTGGCGTTAAGCAAGCGGCGTTTTTTGCAACCAACTCTATACTTATCGAAATTATTTACAAATCCTTATCACAGTGGGTCTGGTGGCTAATTGAATTAGTGAACTTGATTGTTATGTAGACACCAGCATGATAAAGTACACTTAAAAGACAATGTTCTTCAATGTACTTTCGATCTTAGCCCTAAACTATAACGTTGAAAATCGATTAAAGATTGGAGATGGATTGAAGTAGTTTGCTTGTCGCCTGATAGTACTTCTACTTTATTTACTTATAAGCCTAAAGTGGTTATTCAAAGACAAGCTGTTGACAAACTCTTTGCTGTTTTTTATAAGTATTACATTGCCATTTTTATGGGAGTTATTTGTTTAGCCTTGACATGCAAAGAGCGTTTGTGAATTATTGACACTGTTTCATGTCCTACTTAACCTAAATTATGTGTAAGGTGTAACGTAATTAATGTTTAACGTCAACTGACACGTTTGTGACATTGATCTGTGGTTATTCAATCATCAGATGACTTTTGAAAACTTGACACGAAAGTAATAAATTTTGTACACTTCAAATAAAAAAGTACCCCGTTTCGGAGACTCGTTTACCAAAGAAGAAAAAAAAATACCTTATTAATATCAATAATTGTCAACCCTGTTAACGAACACAACAAAATAATATTAAGTAGAGGACAAAGTTTTAAGTATCACCCATTTATACCTTCGTTTATGTATCTTGAGACTTCTTGCAAAATGCAATGCAATAAAATGCAGACCACCACGGATGCGGCCCAATAGGGCTGATGCCGGGGAGAACGTAAAAGGTTACTGGGGCTCCGGCTCGAAGTGCAGAATTAGGAACGGGGTGGTTTTTAGTCAGTAAGAGTGGCACTCCCTCCCGTGTCACCCAGGCGGGAAAAGTCATTCGATGACTATCCCTCTTTAAAAAAAAAGACTTCTTGCAATACATCAAACGTCCGTAGTTATTTACAATTTACATATCAACTTAAAAAGTGGTACCTATCTAATCTAAGATCTGTTTGTTCCAGCATAATGACTATGTCGTGGTGACAACGGCGTGATGATGAGGCTCGACGCACCGGAGAAGCAGCACAGATACCACAATCTGTTGCACGACGACCATGCCAGTGAGTACATAATTATAAACCATAGATAGCAGTTATTATAAAAATATTAAGTCTGTGAGTCCAGACTGGCACAGTTGTCCCACATCTAAGCAAAGCAAAGGTCTTCTTAATTAGAAGGAAGAAACTATAATTACTTAGTTACAGGCCAGCACGGTTAGCGCGGTGGCTGGGCAACTGGCTGCCGCGCAACGTGTTGCGGTTTCGATTCCCGCACGAAACAACTCTTTGTGTGATCCACAGATTGTTGTTTTGGGTCTGGGTCTCATGTGTATGTGAACTTGTGTGTTTGTAAACGCACCCACGACACAAGAGAAAATCTTAGTGTGGGGCAACGTTTAAAAAAAAATAACAAACAAAGTTATCTCAAGACAGAATTTTGCTTGTAATATTTTTCTTTGCCATATATCAGCGCAGTGGTAAACTTAAAATTTGTCTCTGATGCTAGCATAAAGTCATACTTTATTTTTTTTATTTTATTAAACCCCGAGCTACGAGCGTTATAAACATAAATCTCCTCACACGGAACGCTGGCGAAGTGGACCGTCTTTGTTTCACTTTTTTCTTCGTTTTCTCAAAAAAGTGAAAATTTTAAGAAAGCTAATTATGTACGTTTGTTAAAAATGTTAAAAAAATATTCACTGTAAGTATTTTTAACTGAATTTGCTGCGAATATGAAATAACATTCTTAATGGCAGTCGAGTCTTATTTCGGAGATTCCCTGTTATTTTTAGCCCTTAGGAGTCTTTAAAAGAACTTATAGTATTATGTACGTCACTGATGTTTAAGTACGTACGGATTCATGCAAAAAACTTTAATTACAAAGGTCTAATTACACAGTGCGTCAGCTGTTGTAGTAAATACGTTCATAATTACATATAGCGCTGACAATTTGGCAATCAGTGTAATTATAACTGGTAATTACCGTTTACGATGCTTATCGAGTAAAATGCAAAGGTCTCCAATTGTCATGAAGGCATAAAAGTCATATTTTTATTGTCTTATTTTCCCAAGACTGTCATTGTTAGAAACTGAGCATGTTACTGTGTACTGTCGGGTATGAAGTTCGAAATTATGGTTCAAAATGGTATATGCAATTATTTATATCATTTTTCTACTTTTACTCTATATTTCTGACCAACGTTTCTTGTCAAGAGGCCTATTTTCACACAGTACATAGAAAAAACCAACAATTTTTTAGCTTTATTATTATTACTGGGTTTTTAAAAATCTCAGTAGTAGCACGGAGTCCTCACCGGACATGGAAGTTTCGGGAGGTACCTGTGTCTGATGGGGCGGGAGGAAACGCCCGGGTGTCATCACTGCGAGGACCACCCTGAGGACACGGTGGAACACACTGTTGCGGAATGCCCTGCGTGGGCTGAGCACCGCCGTGCCCTCAGGGAAGTGATCGGCGATGGAGACCTCTCGCGTCCGGGCCTAGTTCAGGCCATGATGCGGAGCGAGGGGGACTGGGATGCCGTCTCCTCCTTTTGCGAAGCAGTCATGCTGGCTAAGGAGGAGGCGGGACGCGTGAGGCAGCGAAGCGCTGCCTCCTCGCAACCCAGCCATCGCGAAGGACACACCGGGCGTCGGGGATCGCGGGACGATCTCCGGCCACCGTAAGCGCGGGCCTGCGGACGGCGAGCATGGGTGGCTCCCCGTCCGACCAGAAACAGACCCGAGCGTACGGCGCGTCGCGTTCCGCGCGCGCCTCAAAGAGCCATCAGACCACCACAGATGGGGCCCAATAGGGCCGATGCCGATTCGGAGTCGCGGAGAACCTAACGGGTAACCGGGGCTCCGGCTCGACGTGCAGGAGAAGGAACGGGGTGGTTTTTAGTCAGTAAGAGTCTGACACTCCCTTCCGCCTCACCCAGGCGGGAGCAGTCATTCGATGATTTTCCCCCCTTAAAAAAAAAAAAAAAAAAAAAAAAAAAGTAGTAGCACGGAGTCTGGAAATGTGCCCGGTATATGGCAATAGGCTCACCCCCTATTACATGGGACCCCCTATTATATCATAACGTAAATAGTGAAAAATGGGTGTTACATTGTATTGTGGCATTAAGTGCCGTAATGTGCACCTCTGCCTACCCCTTCGGGACTAAAAGGCGTGATGTTATGTTTTTTTGCTTTAGACGATTACGACCTGTATTTTCATTATGAATGGTCGTTCTCATAATAATATTTGCTTTAACACTCATTCATAAACCATATTATAAACAAGGTCAATCACATAAAACCTATACTTTAGTTACATCAACTTGAACTTGGTATGCAGTTATTATTTTTTTGTTGCTACAAAGTTAATTACAGTTCATTACCATCATATTACAACGTGTTAAGTTATTTTATTGAATGTAATATGATAATGCTGTAATTATATGGTGCACGTTATTACATGTAGCGAAGTAGTCGTTTTGGATTCGTCACTAAATGTATTTAATGGAGGCACTTATATTGATAAAGCCTTGATCTTTGAAAAAGGTTTGACAGGTTTTGTATCTCGGTTTTATCATTACTTTTTATTTTTAAGCCTTATTTGACTGAATGCCTTTCATCCAATGATTTACATTTATAGAGTTTTCGGTATTATTTGTCCAGTTAAGTAGTCACCAACCGAGTTCTGTTGAACTGCGAGTGTTCGTTTGCATCGCTTCACCCAGGCGGGAGCAGTCATTCAATGATTATCCTCCCTTAAAAAAATCTGTGTAATCCAACAAAACGACACACAGATTCTGTGTCATCAAATATCAGTTCTTTAATCAACAATTATCCAGTAATAAAGTTAGTTTTCATTTACGATGTGACTGTACACAAACGTAAGACAATGTCATGTCGAGGGAACTAGCAGTAAAACGCATATACGTGGGAATCTCGACATACAATACTACGCTGATAACACGATATAGTATAAACATTGAACATTTATGGGAAACTTTAAATACAAACAAAATTTTTTGTCAATTTTTCTTTTTAACTGACTACACACAATAGCTGTCTAGTCTTAACATTTAATGCTTTTAACTTTTAGCCCGCCTTCCCTGGATAATAGCTTATGTAACCGAATTTCATTCAGTTCCGTTTTTTTAATAAACGTTGCCCCACACTAGGATTTTCTCCTGTGTCGTGGGTGCGTTTACAAACATACATGTTCACATACACATGCCACGTAAGCCCGGAACATAAATTTGTGGATCACACAAAATGTTGCTCCGTGAATAGAACCCGTGACAAGTTGCGTGTCAGCCAGTTACCCAGCCACCGCACCACCCGTGCAACCGTTCGGTAGTTACTGTGTGAAAAAGTAACTAAATAATAAATTGCTTCTCATAAACTTTGCCTAGGAAGTGCTGGTAATAGGAAGTAGGATCTAATTTAAACAGCGTTCCCACCTTCTCTTCAGAAATATTATAAAGTCAGTCCAGCACATAATGTCAGTAATCTGCATGTGCATGCAACGACGCTACTTACTTACTTACTGTGCATTTCTATGCATATTATTTTGTAATACGTGAGCTGAGAATTTTCACAAAGTTTTCCTTCACGAACAAAGCCACGACGCCCACGACATCTGTTTACATTTACAAGTGAACTGTATACTTGTCAACTTATTACCATTTGTATGGATTCGAAACAGAAAATGTCACAAACTGTCACACATTGTCATTATAATGTACCGCACCCGTATTTTCTAAAAGAGTACGTAAATCTCAGTCATGTCCAGTTCCTTTGCAGGTGATGTAATGTATTCTTACTAGCCCAAACCACTAAATCCAAGATTCTCTTCCACTCACTAGCATATCCGTTGAGCTGACCAAATTGGTCATACTAAAACAAAAGTAACTAACATTCTTGTTTTAACTTTCTCTAGTTTTATTGCATTCAAAACTTGTAAGTCTTATAACATAGGGGTCGTGTATGTCGAGGCAAGTAATATTTTGACCCATTGTAACCTATTGGACAGACAATAACCCCCCATGCGCACCACACCTCACTTCCGCCGTGGTTTCCTGCGTTTTGTGTGCGGGAAACGAACCTGTGACGTTCCGCGTCGTCGATTACAACCACTTGGTTAATGAGTTGGCCATCGATATTATTTTTGTTTTTATTTTGAACATTTTTCCAACAGGACTTGAGTCATACTTTCCAAAAATAAGTAAAATAAAGATTTAAACAAACCCTGCGATCCTAAGAAACCTTTTGGGTACGAAATTTACATAAACATAATGCACATTCAGAGAAATGCCCAATAAGGAAAAAATACAAAAAGTTCATTCATCCCTTTGGTCAGATCAATAGGTCGTTGACCGATCAGTCCTTTGAATGCAACAATCTAATCCGGTGCTCACTGACCTCTGCTCTCTGCTACAGTCTGCATCGAATCGTGCGCAGGTTACCGCAGGTTGTTGCTCCACATCCATGCTCCAGAATCCTCCACAATAAACATTTCTGCAATTTAAACGCACCAACAATTGAATTAACGACTCATTGTCATTGTGCAACTGGTTGTCATCGGATACCGCTGTCGTGTGTAATTATGATTGGCGACCCTGGCCCGGTAGCCATGTTGCCAATATGGCCGCCCACGTGACGCGTGCGCCTTTGAGCCTCTGATCTGAACATAGATTTCAGGTCAGATATGACAATTCATTGTTCTATACAACTGTAATCGCCTTCACTTAAACAAGTTGTCACGTTACTTGCCTGAACTAGCAGAGATAATATATGAAAATGAATGCACTTGATATAAGTACGTGTAAGCCTTCATAGTCCACTAATTACAAGAGCATTCGTGTAATAAATAACTTCTCAGTTATTACTGTGATTGCAAACGAAGATAGAAAACAATACAACTCCACCATTTTATATTAGAAAGTCCTATAACTAAAATTACTTGCCGGAAGATGCACAAACGCATGTCAATAAAAGTAAACGAGCAATCAACTGTAATGATTTCCTCAAGTCTTCAGAAACTTACGTAAGATATAATGAACATGGAG